GGTTCGAACCCCTCCCCCCCCCCCCCACTCCGGAAAACCGGGGGGGGTCACTACCGGTTCGAACTCCTCCCCCCCCCCCCAGCTCATCATGAAAACGGGGGGGGTCACTACCGGTTCGAACCCCCCCCCCCCCTCGAAAACCGAGTGGGGGTGCGGACAGTGGTGGGGACGGTGTTGGTGGGGACAGTGGTGAGGGGACAGCGGGACAGTGGTGGGGACAGTGGGGGGACAGTGGGACAGTGGTGGGGACGGTAGTGGCGGGGACAGTGGTGGGGACGATGATGAGAACAGGGGGGACAGTGGACAGTGGTGGGAACGGTGGTGGTGGGGACAGTGGTGTGGGGACAGTGGGAATGAGGTGGAAACACTGGGACAGTGGAGGGTACAATGGTGGTGGAGACACTGGTAAAGGCGGTGGCGAGGACGGCGGTGGAAATGGGACAGAGGTACAGTGGGGACAGTGGCGGGGACAGTGGGGACAGTGGTGGAAACAGTGGGACAGCTCAGTGGAACAGCGGAGGAGTCAGTGGGACAGTGGGGACAGTGGGGATAGGCAGTGGTTGGGTCCGTGGAGACAGTGGGGAGAGTGGAACCGTGGTGGGAACAGTGGTGGGAACAGTGGGGACAGTGCGACAGTGGCGGGGGCACTGGTGTGGACAATAGGGACGGTGGTGGAACCAGTGGGGACAGTGGTGGTGAGGACAGTGGTGCTGGGAACAATAGTGGGGGATGTGATGCGAGCGGTGGTAGGGACCGGGAGTCGTTTGCTGGCGGTGCGTGGGGGGGGGGTCGAACCGGCAGTGACGCCCCTCCGGTTTTCGAGGGGGGGGGGGGTTCCAACCGGTAGTGACCCCCCCCGGTTTTCCGGATCCGGAGGGGGGGGGGTGGAGGAGTTCGAACCGGTAGTGACCCCCCCCCGGTTTTCGAGGGGGAGGGGGGGGGGAGGGGTTAGGGGAGGGGGAGGTTTTGCCGCCTCAGGAGTGAGAGGGGGGGGGGGGGAGGGTTCCTGGCAGGGGGGGGGGTTGATTTTTCGGAGGGGGGGGGGGGGAGACACCCGGGTTCCGGAGGAAAAGGTTGGCAATTTTCCACAGTAAAGCGGCGGTGGATCACGCTCTCTCCCATCACATCACCATCAACACCATCATCAGCACTATCACCATCACCCCCACATCATCACCACCACCATCATCACCATCACCATCACCATCATCATCATCTCCATCGTCATCACCATCACCATCACCACCATTACCATCACCATCGTCGTCATCATCATCATCATCATCATCATCATCCTCATCCTCATCCTCATCATCATCATCATCATCATCATCATCATCATCATCCTCATCCTCATCATCATCATCATCATCATCATCAGCAGCATCATCATCATAAGCATCGTCATCGCGATCGTCATCAACAAAATCAGCATCATCATCCTCATCATCATAGCCGTGCGCCATCGCCACCGCCGACGTCATTGCCATAGTCATGGTTTGTCATGGTTGCAGGTAGTACTGATGTGTTGCAATCCACGGTGGCGGGCCAGCAGACACGCACACAAACACACACACACACACGATTTTGGCGGTCGGGGCCTCGCGCGCAGCGTGGAGGTGGAGTAACACACACACACACACACACACACGCAAACGCACGCACGCACGCACGCACGCACGCACGCACGCACGCACGCACGCACGCCCCCCCGCACACACACACACACACACACACACACACACACACACACACACACACACACACACACACACACGCACACACAAACGCACACGCGCACACACACGCAAACACACATACACACACACACACGCACACACACACACACAAACACACGCGCACACACACGCACACACACACACACACACATACACACGAACGCACACACACACACACACACACACACACACACACACACACACACGCGCGCGCACGCACGCACACACACGCAGACACACACACACACACACACACACACACACACACACACACACACACACACACACACGCTCACACGCACACAATCACACACAAGCACGGCAGCGGTGGCGATAACAGTGGCGACGGTGGCGGCCGAGGTTGGGTGGGAAGGGCTGGATGGGAGGATGGGGGAGGGGCCCGGGGATCCGACGTTGAACGAAAACTGCAACATTTTGACGCATCCGAACCAGAGCCCTGGACCCCATCTTTCTGCTGCATTTTTCGAGCAGGATCGAGCTGTAATGGTCCCAGGGCCCGAAAAAGCAGGCCAGAACTTCCGGCGTGAAAAAAATGGAGCGTACCTTCGGCCTGTCGAGCGCCAATCACCCTTGTTGGCGCTCTGCTTTCCCAAAAGCCTCCTACATGGGGTCCGACGAGTAGATGGAGTCGGAAGATCGCACCGCATCGCCGATGCATCGCCGATACATCGACAATGCATCGGCGACATCGGCGGTGTCGGCGACGCCAGCGTGGAGATAGTCGGGCTCCACATCGAGTTGCATCTCCGATGCGTCGGCGATGCGGCGCGATCCTCCGACCCCATCTGCTGCGACCCCATCTGGGAGGCCTCGTTGCCGCCGCTGCTCGCGCAGCCTCGGGGAGATGGGCCGGGAGCCCCCGGGAAGGGTCCAGGCACCAATTCTGAGCGGGCCCTGGCCTGGGGGGACCTTGACCCCCGATCCGCCGTGCTTTGGTGCGCGATTTCGCAACTAGGGCAGAAATCTCCGCCCTCCGTTTCGAACTTTTCGTTTTCAGCCGTAAGCGCGATGCCTGGTAAAGTCTCGGCTTGTATGTGTCCGCCCTACTTTTAGAACTCCTCTGGTGTCGATTTCAGCCCTACTTTGCCATCACTGCTTCCGATTGAGGAGCAACTTTCCGCCCTACTTTTTCGCATTGCTTGGGACGCGTTGTGAGACAAAAATACGGCGGATCCGAAGTCAAGGGAGGGGGGGGATCCCGACGTCGATCAGAGCGCTGCGACAGGATCATGGCGAGCTCCTTCGCCCCGCTTCAGGGACATCTGGGGCTGTCGCGAGCGAATCTGGCTCGAAAGCTCGAAAGAGGACGGGAGCTCTGGCTGTGACGTTTCGCACAAGTGCGATGCAACGACGTCGAGTGCTGACTGAAGGAGTTTCGGGCGTCTGGGGCGTGCTCGAGGGCTCTACGGAGGGGTCGGGGGGCTCTACGGATCTTCAGGGTAATCTACGAAGGTGGAGGAGGAGGAGGAGGAGGAGGAGGAGGGAGCAGGGAGAAGGGAGGAGGATGGACGGCGGGGAGGAAGGGCAGGAGGGGAGGAGGAGGGAAGCAAGGAGGGCGGAATTGGAATGAGGGAAGGAGGGGGGGAGGAGGCGAGAAAGAAGGGAGGAAGCGGGCAAGAGGGATGAGGAATAAGGAGGGCAAACGACAGGCATGTGAAGGGCGAGAGTGAATGATCATAACGAGGACGGAAAACGAGCAGGAAGCGGAGCATCAGCAGGATAGCGACTGGAAAGGATGAGGAGGGGGGCGAAGGGAGGGCAAAGACGAAACGATACCAATAACAAAACGCCGTGGACAAGCACGGGATCACAAAGGCGAATAGCGGACTTGATCATACATGAACATCAGTGGCTTGGCAATGTTGGGAAAGTCCATGAACTCACCTCTACCACCATGCCGAGCGAAGTGCAATTCACGCCGATTCAAATATGGTGCATCCCGCGATTTCCTTTCTGGGGAGGCCACCATCGGAAACGCACAATCATTCGCGTGCTAGCTGCGCGCAGCAGTCCCAGCCGTGATGGTAGGAACCCTGCAAGATAATCGCACTACTCCGGAATGCGCCACCAGGTGGTCACACTGCACGGAAAGTTCACGTGAAACGAGATGCGCCGCAAGAAGGCATGTGTGACAAACGGTGTTTCCAATCCCACATGCAAGATAGACAGTGCTTGGCGAATGCCTCATTTGAAATATTACATGCTATTGAGTTGCTCGTCTAGCCTCCGGTGGGTGGAATGCTTTCCCGCCTCCGCAGGGGTCCAGAATGCCGCTTGAGGGCGTGGGCGGGGGCAGGAACTCGCCAACGCGCTTGCGGGGGCCACAGGCGCGATTTTGAAGCTCATACATGGTGGGGCTGTGGGGCTGCACACTTCCTCCTAAACCAATGGTTTAGTATAGGGTTGTGCAGACATGTTGCTCGACATTACGCTAAATACAAACATTACCAAAACTCTGATAATGTTTCACGCTTCTGAGGCCGGATTCTGCTAAGCAGGTGTCGATGTACATGGTACAAAACCTAACCGAGACAACTTGAACGAGCTGCAAAAGTACCCGACACTATTACCACGTGTCTGCTCAGCGTATCCAGTATCTGTATGCAGAAGTTGATGAATACAAAACAGCGTGAAAACAACATACACACATGAGCACACGAACTGGCATATGTATTACATGTATTTGTATACATGTGCCAACCTCTTGATGCACGCGCTGATACTGCAGCGGCCAGCGTCGCATCTGCTGCTGCTCATGCTGCTGCTGCCGCTGCCATTGCCGCTGCGGCCTTGCCTGTCATGTAGTAAAAGAACGGCCAAAGGGTAGAGCTGAGGAGGACTTGGAAGTTGGTGCCGTCGGTGGGAACACTAACACATACAGGCAGCAAACATGATTTCAACTGCCGTAAAATTAAAACACCAAACATAATGCCATTCTGTACTTCCGACATGCCTCAACAATCCTACAGACTACTGCGGGCTATGCCATCTTATTAAGTAAGCCTAGAAACTTGGACTCGCAGAATTGAACAAACACCGGCTGAACCTCTCCTCTGATTGACACTCTCCATCGTCCGAACGTCCACGCGGCAACTCCTTCTCATACCGAGGCTGGCTTCCACAGAGCATGGAACCCGGCCGGAACGCGAGTGGGCATGGCAACCCGGCTGACCCTCTCCATCGTCCGAGCGTCCACGATGTCAAGGCTTGACGCACACCGCGCGTCCCCGTAGGTGAATGAAAGCAACCACCCGTCGTCCTCTCCGCTGTCACCTCGGCGCGCGAACATGCTCTCGCCACCATACACGCCACCATCGGGCGCGCCTGAGTCGTGCTTGCCGGAGTCGTACCGGTGCCTGGTCCAGGTCTCGTTCTCAAGGTCGAACTTGATGACGCCATCGACGGTGAAGCCCGCGATGAAGTGCGCGGCGTACGCGTAACGGCACTTCTGCCCCACGCGGTCCATGGCCACCTGAGGGAAGTCGCAAGACATTGTGGCCACCTGAGCGAAGTCACGATCCTCCTCACAGACTCCCGTCTTGATATTCAAGCGCCAGAGGTGCATGCGCCCGCCGCTTGGACGGGACTCGGTCCCCGCAAGGTCGTCGAGGTCGACAGAATCCATTGCACAGCCGTATACGCGAATGTGCTCTCCATCAGCCTCCTCCCAGGCGTTGGCAAAGTGGAATACGACCGACGGGAGCTTGCACTCGATCCACTGGATGTCATGTTCGGACGTCGCCATACGGGGCAACACACCGAAGCGTGCGGGCAGGCTGACGTCTTGTTCGTACATTGCCTTGGCCTCACCTTTCATGACCTTCTTCGGGTTGTTGTACTTGTTGTTGTAATCGTAAAAAAGAGAATAGTTTGTGGTGACGGCAATGTCGTGCATCATGACTGGCGCGGGGATTGTCACAGGGAAAGAGCGAACCAGCTTACCCCGAGCGTCGACGACCCCATAGTGTAGCCAAGGCCCCTCCTTGGGCCCATTGATGTAGCCGAAGTACACCATGTCTCCAGTCACGGAGCAGACCTTCGGGTGCGCAGTGAATGTGGGGAATGGGAACTCGTCCACCCTGCGTGTCGTCTCTAGAGTGCCAATATCCACTTCGTACGGTTTGTCCTGCTCGAAAAGAGCCAACAGCTTACCGCGCGGCTCGTGCCAAACGAGCGCGGTGTTGGCACGCCCGATATCGTCTGTACTCCGCGCGTGCGGAAGCCACGCCAAGTTCCCAGTGCGCGCCACCTCGGCCGCCTCCCCCATGATGGAAAAACTGAAGCCGTTCTTGGCTTCCTTCTCGAAAGCCATCGTGCGCACCCACCTGTTCTGGTATGTGGCGCCCTCCCCGTCACCCGCAAAATCAACCTTGTGGATCATGCCGTCGCCGTCGAAGACGTGGTAGGGCTTGCCCCGGAAGTCAAATCGAGGGTTGGGGCCGATGCGGAGGAAAGTGCCTCGAAGGCCCACGGGCACCCGACCATCAAGGCAGCAAGCGCCGAGAGAGAGCGTCTCGCTGATCTCGTCGGCCCGCGGCTCAAAATGCCCCGACACAAAATAACTGTCCTTCACGGGTTTCACGTCGCTGTCGCCTGGACGGTTGTTCGGGAGAGGGCTCGGAGCGGCCAAGGTGGGAGCTGCGGTCACGTGCACCGCGAGAGCCGCGAGGCGGCGCGGAGGTGGGGAGGCCATGGCGGCAGCGGACGGGTGCCGCAGCTCTTTAGGCGGAAAGCGGTCGCACGAGTCGCGGCCGCGGTAAGCGGCCAGGGCCACAGCCACGGCCACGGGAGGGCGCTTTCGCGGCCGCGACCCCGACAGGTTCCACCAGACACACGGGCCATGTGCATTACTACATGCATGAGTAACTTCGTTGGTATCATCCAGCTGGGGGCGTTTCTCCAACACTACGTAACTTGTATGAGTATGAGCAGGTATGTATGTGTGCAGTTATTTCGTTATGTATGTATGTGTGTGTGCATGAATGCATGCATGTATGTACGTATGTATTGTATACTATATGGATGTATGTATGTATGCATGCATGTATGTTTGTTTGTATGTATGTATGTACGGATGTATGTATGCATGCATGTATGTGTGCATGTGTGCGTGATTGTGTATATATGCGTGCATGCACACATGCATGCATGTATGGGTGGATGCATGTATGTATGGATGCATGTATGTATGCACGTATGTGTATGTCTGCATGTATGGATGTATTAATGCACGCGTGTAGATGTGTATGTATAAAGGTAGCCATGCTTATCTGACTGTATGGCTGCATGGGTGTATTCATGTATGAATATGCACGTACGTCTGCAAATATACATGTATGTAACTATGTAGGTATGCATGCATGCATGTATGGATGTGTATGTGTGTATATGTATGTATGTACGCACGTATGCATGTATGTATGTATGCATGTATGTATGTATGAACGTATACATGTGTGTATGTACAACCATATGTGTGTATGTCTGCACCTGTGTATGTGTGTGCGTATGTACGTGTACACAGTTGGATTGATGTATGTTTACACACATGTATGTATGCATGCATGCACGCACACACGCACGCACGCATGCGTGTATGTATGCACGTCTATAGCTATGTCGACAGGTAGGTGTGTGTATGTTTGCATGGGTGCATGCACGCATATGTATGTATGCATGCCTGTGTTTATGTATGTACGTATGCATATATGCATGCATGCATGTATGTATGAATGCATGTATGCGTGTATGTATGCCTGCATGTATAGTTGTGTGTACGTATGTATGTACGTACATACGTACGCATGTATGTATGTATGCATGCATGCATGCATCTACGTATGTATGCATGTGTATATCTGGACATGAACCATGGAAGACGGTGTATGCAAGTACCCCAAGGACACTCACTGCTCATCCATCGTTGTGGCGCGGCCATGGGGAGCCTCCAGGACCGCCAGGATGGTTCCAAGACTCTCCAGTAGCGCCCCAAAACAGCTGCATGGCGGCTCTAGCGTTCTCGAGACGGCTTCATAATGATGAACGGCTGTACAAACTCGCCTCAAGATCGCCCATCAGGCCCACGAGGGAGCTGAAGAGAGCCTCAAGAGGGCTCCACAAGAGGGCTCCAACGGACAGACATCATTGATGTCCCATAGGTGTTGTTACTGGTTTTAGCCGTTTCCCCAACCATCCTGTGGCGTTGGGACCTCGTTTTGAAGAGACAGCGGCCCGCGTCTCACCTCACCTCCCCTCACCTCCCGCTGCCCCCTCCCTCCTCCCCCTCATCCCTCCTCCATCCGCCTCGTCATCGCCATCGGCACATCCCTCACACGGATCGTGGCCCCATAGGGAGCTCCACCGAAAGGCCCAGCGGGAGCGTCCGCATGGCACAGCCACCCCATTTTGGCACACCCCTCACACGGTTCGTGGCCCCCATAGGTAGCTCCACCGCAGGCCCCACCGGGAGCGTCCGCACGGCACCGCCGCCCCATTGTGGCACACCCCTCACACGGTTCGTGGCACAACAGGGAGCTCCACTGAAGGCCCCAGCGGGAGCGTCCGCATGGCACCGCCGCCCCATTTCGGCACACCCCTCACATGGCTCGTGGCCCCCATAGGGAGCTCCACCAAAGGCCCAGCGGGAGCGTCAACTTGGCACCGACGCCCCATTTCGGCACACACCCCTCTCACACGGTTCGTTGCCCTATAGGGAGCTCCATCGAAGGCCCCAGCGGGAGCGTCCTCATGTCACCGCCGCCTCATTTTGGCACACACACACCCCTCACACGGTTGGTGGAGGAAGCTTCACCGAAGGCCCCAGCGGGAGCGTCCGCATGGTACCGCCGCCACATTTGGCACACCCCTCCACGGGTCGTGGCACCATACGGAGCTCCACCGAAAGGCGCCAGCGGGAGCGTCCGCATGGCACCGCCGCCCCATTTTGGCACACCCATCACACGGGTCGTGGCCTCATAGAGAGCTCCACCGAAGGCCACACCGGGAGCGTCCGCATGGCACCGCCGCACCATTTTGGCACACCCATCACACGGGTCGTGGCCTCATAAGAAGCTCCACCGAAGGCCCCAGTGGAAGCGTCCGCATGGCACCGCCGCCCCATTGGCACACCCCTCACACGGTTCGTGGCCCCCATAGGGAGCTCCACCGCAGGCCCCACCGGGAGCGTCCGCACGGCACCGCCGCCCCTTTGGCACACCCTTCAAACGGCTCGTGGCCCCATAGGGAGCTCCACCGAAGGCCCCAGCGGGAGCGTCCGCATGGCACCGCCGCCCCATTTCGGCACACCCCTCACACGGTTCGTGGCCCCAGGGAGCTCCACCGAAGGCCCCAGCGGGAGCGTCCGCATGGCACCGCCGCCCCATTTTGGCACACCCCTCACACGGGTCGTGGCCTCATAAGGAGCTCCACCGAAGGCCCCAGCGGAAGCGTCCGCATGGCATCGCCGCCCCATTCTGGCACACCCCTCACACGGTTCGTGGCCGCCACAGAGAGCTCCACCGAAGGTCCCAGTGGGGGCGCCCGCATGGCACCGCTGCCCCATTTTGGCGCACCCCTAACACGGTTCATGGCCCCAGAGGGAGCCCCACCGAAGGCCCCAGCGGGAGCGTCCGCAAGGCTCGGGCCGCGCACGGGGCTCGGGCGAAACCAAGAAGACTCGCCGCTCGCCCGCGTCAGCTTTTCTCTCCCTCATGCACGCAGCAGTCCCTTTTGCTGCCCCCCTCCGTTGTCCCTCTCCCTCGCGGTGCTCGCAGCAGCATGTGGTTGGGTCCTCCGTGAGGCTAATTTTGCCTTTTCGGCTTCAGATCGCCTGGATGAACACAAAGGGCCGTCAACGCCGTGCGGATGTGCTTGCGCGCATGTGGCGTTCGCCCGCCCCTGATGCGGTAGCCTGCAACTCGAAGGTTTCTAGGAGGAGGAGGAGGAGGAGGAGGAGGAGGAGGAGGAGAAGGAACGAGGAACTATGAAAGAGGATAAGGAAAACGAGGAAAGAGGAGAGGAGGATGCTCCTCTGCCCTCCTTCCTCCATCCCTCCTCCTCCCTCCTCCTCTTCCTTCCTCGCCCTCGCCCTCCTCCTCCTGCTGCTCCTCCTCCTCCTGCTGCTCCTCCTCCTCCTCCTCCTCCTCCTCCTCCTCCTCCTCCTCCTCCCCCTCATTATCCTCCTCCTCCTCCTCCTCCCCCTCATTATCCTCCTCCTCCTCCTCCTCCCCCTCATTATCCTCCTCATCCTGCTCCTCTTCCCCCTCCTCCTCCTTCTCCTCCCTCCTCGCCCTCCTCGTATTCATTTTCCTCCGCAAACCTTCTACAGCCCTCCTTCCTCGCCCTCCTCGTCCTCCTCCGCCAGCCGCCTCTCCCCCTGCGGAGGCTCCTCGGCCACGGCCTCGGCCTCGGTGGCGCTGGCCTCCGCCTCGGCCCGCCGGTCCTGGAGGTAGTCCCAGCGCGCCTCCGGGCGGCTCGGCGTCCGGGCCGAGGGGCCCTTCTTGGCAGCAAGGTTAGCGTCCCGCCGTTCCTCCCCCCCCGACCCCTCGAGGAGGATAGGGGCGGAGGGAATGAAGGGAGGAGGGAAGGGGGGACAAGCTAGGTGCGCTCGCGTCAGAACTGACGTCCTACCCCTCCCTACCACCACGGCGTAGATCTCGTTTTCGTTCCCTTTGCACAGGGTGCCTAGAGCTCCGACCACATTATTTCGGCACGGCACCCCCTCCATCACCCACCCATCCCACCAGCCAGCGCGCCCCCAGTGCGCCCCCATCTCCCCCGCATCATCCTCCCATCCTCCCATCCACCAGCCAGCGCGCCCCCTCCGCCCCGACCCTTTGATTTCGGCACGGCGACCCCCCTATCCCACGCGCCACCTCCGCATCCCTCCCACCCACCAGCCAGCGCGCCCCCTCCGCCCCGACCCATGTGTTTCGGCGCGCCCCCCCCCCCACCCACCCAGACCACCATGGTCCCACCCACCAGCCAGCGCGCCCCCTCCGCCCAAACTCCTTCTATTTCGGCACGGCATTCCCCCTCCATCCCGCGCGCCCCCTCCGCATCCCCCCCACCCGCCGGCCGGCGCGCGCCCCCCCGCCCCGACCACTTTATTTCGGCACGGCACCCCCCCCAACCCCATCCCACCCCCCCCCCCCCCCGCATCCCCCCCCAACAGCCCGCGCGCCCCCTTCTTATTTCGGCGCCCCCCCCCCGCCCCGCGCGCCCTCTCCGCGCCCCCCCGCCCGCCGGCTTTCCGGACCCTTTTCCCGCCCCGACCTTTCTACGTCGGCACCCCCCGCCCCGCCCCCGCCCCGCGCGCCCCCTCCGCGCCGCCCCCGCCCGCCAGCCAGCGCGCCCCCTCCGCCCGACCCCTTTTATTTCGGCACGGCACCCTGCGCCCCCCATCCAGCGCGCACCCTCCGCGCCCCCCCCCCCCGCCAGTCGGCGCGCCCCCCCCGCCCCCGCATTTTTTCCGGCATAACCCCCCCATCGCCCGCGCCCCCCCCTCCGCGCCCCCCGGCCGCCAGCCTGCGCGCCCCCGCCCGCCGGCCAGCGCGCCCCCTCCGCCCCGACCCTTTGGTTTCGGCACAACGCCACCCAAAATCCAGCTCGGCAACAACAGCGGAAATACATGTGATAGGAAACCATAAAGATAAGACTGCGCACGTGTATGCATATATATATATATATATTCACGAAAAGAATAGAAACTATCGGCAATAAAAAATGAAGCAGAGAAAGACCATTAACTTTGACCGTCTGCGGCAATTTTCACCGTTGATGGGCCATGTTGCGCCCCCCCCCCCCCCCCCCCCCCCCCTTCCCCCGCCCCCCCCCTGGCCTTGGTCGGCTTCCGCCTAAAGCCGGACATCAACATCGTCGAGGGCTTGCCCTTGAGCTGCGATCCGCCCGCGGGGAGGGATTCGTTCGCTTCGTTCGCTCGCTCTCTCAAATATCTTTCCCCATCCCCCTCCTGCCCGCATGTTCTGCTAGACTTTCTACGGCGGCCAGACCCGTTTGCATGGCGGCCAAGCCGCCTTGCTGATTTGGTCTGTTTCGCGCAACGCGCTCATCGCTCTCGCGCGTTACAGCGGCGCGGCCGCTTCTACTGTCGTCGGGCGCGCGGCATTTGTTCATCGCCTTAGCACGTTGCAGCGGCCCGACCGCTCTGCCCATAACTGTCTGCTTAAATCGCGCGCAGAACGTTGCGCCCCAACGGAAGACGGCGAGGAGGAGGAGGAACGCCCGTGTCCCTGGTGCCTTCATCTGTAGACGAACCACGCGGCCACCCCCCTGCTCCTCGCGAGCGACATGTCTCGCTCGTGCGCGAGGGGCCTGAAGGGAGGAGCTGATGGCGGGGCGGAGGAGGAGGGGGTGAGAAGTTGGGCGACCCGCGCAACGGGCCGCCGCGCACGCGGTGCACGCACTGCAGCGCGCCATCGGCCGCCCACTCCTCGCGGAGCCATTGCGGCGCGCCCCCAGGTGGAAGCGGGGCGCCGCGGCGCCAGTGCCGCCGCCGTGGCCCGTTCGGAGGGGTCGCCCACTCCCACTGGCTCCACCATTCGGGGGGGCGCCAAGCCCGCGGCGCCCGCGGCGGGAGCGGCGAGCCCTGGCGACTGGACCACCGCGCGGGCGCGGGCCTTGGGGGCCGGTTGGGCATCGGCACATGGCTGCTAATATTGAAGAGGAGCAGGAAGAAGAGGAGGAGGACGAAGAAGAGGTCGATGGGGGGGGGAGGGGGGAATGATGTTCAGCGGCGGGGGGGGGGATGAAGGGGGGGGGGGGCAGCAGGAGCAATTTGGATAGCCTCGCAAAGCGGTCGCGCCGCCATCGCGCCTCGCAAAGCGGCCGCGCCGCTATCGACAGCGACGCCGACGGCCGCGGTGGCGATTGCGGCGACGATGTGTTTTATCAGGATGTGCGCGAGCCCTGCAATCGCATCAGCGTTCTAAACCAGCAATTTGAAAGAAACGCGAAATCGGCACCTATGCCATCTCAATAGGTGCGCGCCTCTTCCGCCCACAGCGCCTGCGGTTTGTAACTGTCGCGCCGCAGGGGCCGAGGGGCGCCGTCCTTTCGCCGGCATTGGGCGCCGGGCGTTGCCTGACAAACATAATACAACGCGTGGGCAATCAAGGCCGCGCTGCCGCCTTCTCCAGCCCCCCCCCGATGATAAAATGGCGCCCTCCACCAAATCGACATAAATCACCAGCTTTGATGCGAGATCCTCAAATAGCCACGCGCTGCGGAACGCTCGTACTTGCGCTGTACCTGGCGCCATAAACCAAGCCATTTGCAACGGCGAATTGGCGCGCCTTTACGTTGCAGCAGCGAAGAGCAACAGATCGTACCAACATTGATTTATCAAAGCAGCCCGCGTCGTCGATGCGCTCCGCGATGCCCAGCGATGTTTTGTGGCCGCGCTCTGTCACCAGCGCGTCTACGGCAAAACGATTCCTCACAACGCTCCGCGGCAAGTCTCGGCAGAAATGGGACCTGGGGGCGCGCGCGTCGCAAATCCCCCCGCGCGCGTTCGAACGGCAGGACGTGGTCGCGCAAATCCACCGCCCAATCATCCGCTACATTAGAGTCTCCGTTTGCGTGCAAATATAGCGAAACAACTTTGGCCAGCGCTGTAAACGACGCCATTTCCTTTGCAAGGTCTGCCTTGAACTGCGCGATCCCATCGGTAAGTATATCCAGGGCGTGTCGGATGAGCGGCATGACCGATCTTCTTAGATCACTCCCCATTAGCGCAATAGTTTTGTGCTGTTGCGCAGATGCTTCTGTCGCTCATCGCTGAAAAGTGCGTCGGGCGGCCCGCGCTCCGAGTGAACCTTCCGCCGCGCGCTGGCGGCGCCCCTGAGCCGCTCCAAAGTCGAGCCGGTGCCAGCAAGGCGACGCAGTAACTCACTCAATTCAATCTGAGCGATCCCATTAATGATTATGCAATGTGCTGGGTCGCACGCGCGCATCGCCAGCGACGCGTGCCGGCGAAGTTCAACGTCCAATAGCAAACCATATGGCACGTGATTAACGCCGTGCATCTCGCATTGCTCCTCGAACGCGCCCTCGCCCAAAGTTTCCTTCAACCGCTGCAGCTGAACAGCGCTGAGCCACAAATCGTCTGCGCTACGCGCGTCGAACCGATTTGGGCCGGCGCGAGAAGTGGGCGCCACTGTTCCCGTCGCATCTTGCGCTAAGTGCAGGGTCTCTGTCGCATCATATCTGCCGCGAACACTTCTGCGCAGCGCGCGTGGAACAACGCCAGCAACGCCCTTTAAACGCAATTCATTGTCAGCGGCGCCCCCGTCGCACAGAAGGTTCGACAATGCGAAGGAGATCCGCGCAGGGTTGGTTGCCGCCTGGCCGAATGCCATCAATGAGGATGCCCCTCTGCCATGCGCTGTTTGGGCCAATGAATAGTCGCCGCAAAATTTGCCGAACAACCCCGGGCATCTCACCACGCACCTTGTCTACCATCGCACGCCGCATACATGCGATTGGGAAACGCGCGCCCTCAGATGTCAACGCAGCGGGGCCGAACGTGTGAAGGCTTGCATGAAACGCCAATGTCTCGCACCCGTTTTGTTGCCTCAATGCATTTCCTGGGGCAAACTCGCCGAGCTATAAAATAAAGTTCCAGCGTCGAGGGGGGGCGCGGGCCCCCGTTGAAAGATGTCGACGCCCGGCGTTTCAGGCTTCCCGACTCTGACGCACGGCGCTGAAGAAGTCCGCCAAGCGACTGGCGCATCGCAGTGGCCGCCGCTCACCAGCTTCAGCTTTATTGGCGCATCGAGGAACTCTGCAGCGAACTCCTCGTGCGCGCGCACTACTTCCCACGTCGCAAGGTCTTCCATAACTGCGGGCTGATCATTCAGCTTGCGCACTGCGTCACATATTGCAGAGTCTGACGCGCGAACTGAAGCCGCCGGCGGGGCCAGAGCGCGTGACCTCTGCAAAACGCACGAACTACAATCGGAGCTTGGTCGCTTCATCGGGGCTGAAATTGCGCAAGTAAAGCTGGCGTGGTCCAAAACTGGGCGCGAAGTGGCCATGGGCGGAAGCATGAGCATAAGCATGCAAGCGTAGCAAAGCGGCCAGACCGCTGCACGCGTGCAAATAGAATCAAAGCGGCCACGCCGCTGCAATCGCCATCGTCATCATGAGCACGCAGGCGTAGCAAAATGGCCAGGCAGCTGCGCATGCAACGTAAGCGTGGACAAACAAGTAAGCCCGCCACGCACACAAACAAAGCGGTCAGACCGTCACGGCGACGACGAAGCGGAGGAGGAGGAAGAGAGCAAGAGAAGGCTGCGAGGGAAGGTGGAGTAGGAAAGGGAGGAGGGAACTGAATCTGCCGCGACACTCGGAGCTGGAAGGGGGGGGGGCCGGATCAGATCGGAATGCCAAATAGGGGAAGAGCTGGCACGATGGTCTGGAAACGTCAGCGGCGAAAGGTCA